AGGAATGAGCATTAATTACGTTTAGCAGAGTCCCCTGGTGTTAGTGGTGCACAGTGTCCAGCGGTGTTTATTTGCATATACTGTGTTTTCTAAACAATGCATGACAAACATTTATATAGTTTATAAAAATTTAATGTAAAAATAATATAAACACATTATCGATGTAATATTAATAACTAATGCAAAAATATACAATAAAACTAAATTTAAGGAAACATATTTTACGTTCTATTTTTAATTGATACTAATACATTATTGTACATTAAATGTATTTTATATTCCATTTGAAGGGCTAACTAAACTAGTAAATGGATAAATATTGTTTAAAAGGTTTACTATGTAAGCTATTCTAATTATATGTTTTCTTAAATAGTAATTTACCAGTGTCTTTCATCCTTAAAATTAATAAAAAGAAAATATTATCGGAATAAGGGTTAGGTTTGTACTTAAAACAGAACTAAATGTGTAACCTTACATTGAATATTTTCCATTATTTTCTTCTACATCCTCTCTCTTTTGCAAAGATCGGATATAGCAACAAGTACTTCATAAAACATAAACCCGCGGCGAAATAAGGGTTACTTTTATAAATGAAATAAAAAAATGATCTATCTCAATAATTTAAGTTATTAACAATTCAAAATACACGTTTTTAGAAGGAGTTGCATTAACTATACACAACACATGATTTATTTTTAAGTATTGTTTCAGAATAAATGCATCATAGAATTCTAAAATAATTTTTAGAAAAGTTGTTGATTCCCTTTTATATTTATATCTGGTTGTAGACTACTTTCTATTATCATAATCTGTTGTTAGACATGTCAAAATATATCTTTAAACAAATTTAACTCTAAGGACCCATTGGTTAATGGTTTATTTATGTAATTTTGTGTTAACTTAAATGGGATTTCTCAGCTCTAAGAATGAAAGTCATAAAATGAAAACTTAATTTCTCTTGTGCAATTATCTTTGAATGTTTCAAATAGACTCTCCGTCCTTCTGTAAAATCTTAAGACCAATCCTTACACTGTATTGTGCCTTAACGTTTAACATTGAGAGAGCTGATGTAATTAATATAGGTATTTTTCTGTCATTTTATAGTAATTTTTAAAACACGTGCTTAATTGAAGAAAGTATTATCAAAACGCGTTTTCTTCGCAGGTGAAAGAACCATGCATCGACTTTGTGTCGAAATATAATACGTATTCGTATAAAATGTTATACATATACTGTAATACATTCTGGAGCAATTATGATCCAATATTGAAAGCATTTGGCATACATTTTCAATCAAGGTGTAATGGAGTTTTGAGATAAAAACGTTTTTTTACTATACACATAAACTATGATACCTGGTTATAATCATACTCATAGCATAAAAAATGTATATAAGGTTATTGTTTTACGACATTCGTTTACTGAGATATTCAAGTGCCAAATACAAAAAAATGCATCCCATGTCATTTATAGGAAGGATAGTTTAGGGGTTGTATTTTTTTTTAAATAGCTGTTTGTTTTTGGGGAAAATTTATCTGTATTTTGAAATTTAAAAAAATGTGATATGTTAACACGTTTGGGCTGTGAATTCGTACCTTTGATGCCTAGCGCTGTCGGAGCACTACTCATTGAGAGTGTGTACACTAACACCGGGGCTTTAGAATACAACGATAAACGTATTCTTTCAATGATAAAAGATGTTAATAATTACGTGATGTTAAAGTATTCTAAAGCCCCTATGTTAGTGTACAAACTCTCAACGAGTAGTGCTCCGACAGCGCAAGGCATCAAAGGTACGAATTCACAGCCTAAACGTGTTAACATATCACATTTTTTAAATTTCAAAATACCCTACAGATAAATTTCCCCCAAAAACAAACAGCTATTTTATTTTTTTTTAATAAAAAAAAAAGTTTATAAAAAATAAAATTTAAAAAAATTTATAATTTATAATTTTACAGTAAATAGCTAGTGATTATTATCTTATTTTTCCACACCTGAATGCCAATTTTGGTGAGAATCGCATTACCCATTCTCCCTGTGAATTGGTACCAAAGATGAAAAATTTACTACTTTTAAGCTCCATATCTCACTTAATATTCAAAATAAAAATTTTTTCTTATATATTTGTATTTCTAATTTTTAGTACAATTGAACAATAACAAAAAATCAGATATGAAAATTTGTGACCAAACACCCTTAATATACATTTATACTTATCGCCTCTTGTCCACATAATCAGTATAGTTCCTTTGCAGACTCGGTGGCTACTGCATTGACGAAGGATGAAGGTCCTTCAAGGACACCCCTGGGAAGGACCTCTCTCCCACGGCCGACGGAAGTTGATCCTTTCTTATCAAGATCTAATATTTAACCTGATTTAATTCGAGTTTGTTATCAATTCGGCATCATGAATGTGGTTTTGTGTTAAATATTGCTTCAGTAAAATGAAACACCATAAATTCAACTGTTTATTGATATATGAGTGAATTATTTGTTCCCAATGGTGGCTTAAGATGTTAAGTTAAGATACCACAGTTAATATAAGTCTATGTTTTTACAATAGATAAGATTCTACTTAACTGTGCAAGAAGGTGTCAAATGTAATCATTGTTCATACTGTACATATTTCGAGCTACATTACAGCTCATCTTCAGCAGCATTCTTGCATTTAAAATGTATCACATCAAGAGATGATTGTCGATAAAAAAAAAGAATGCTGCTGAAGATGGCCTGTAGTGTAGCTCGAAACATGTACAGCATGAACAATATCTACATTTGACACCTTCTGGCAAAAGTAAGTAGAATATAAAATTCTTAAATAGAATTAAACTATTCTAAAATTATTGAAGGTGCCAAGGCTGATCAATTGGAAACCTAAGTTTTAGTTTTTGGTTTGAAGATTATAGGATAGTTTGAGTATAATAAGAATGATTTAAAAGCATATTACCTTGCATTATTTCATTATTTCTCTGCCATATCTCTTAGTTTTACTAGAAAGCACTTTTAACATCGGAAAATGCATATTCATCTAATCATTACCACACACAAATTGCCACTTAAACTTACCTAAATAAAACTTTTAAAGGCATATATAAAAATTATAATATGTTTAAAATTTAAAATAAATGTTTTATATATAGGTGCTGTTGTAGAAAGTATTAATTAGTTTACAAGCTAAGTTAATGAAGTAAAATGTTTGCAATTATTAAATAGGTACTAAAATGACATTTTAAGTAAATACATAGTATTTTTGTTTGCCTTAATAAATTTGGTTTATTATTATTTGTAAGTTTATTGAAAAAGAAGCATAATGGGTCAAAGGGGAATATGGTTTGTAGAAAATAAAACAATAATAATTCTAAAGATTTGTGTTTATTTACAAATATACAACACTTAGATCTAAATATCAGTCTTGCTTTGAGATTATATACACAGAAGTATTCAAACACATCACTTATTGAGTTTTATAACAAACTGAACTAATTGCATTCAAAAGGAAAATCAACACACTATTACCATAATGAAATAGAACCTATTGATAAACGAACCACTAGTTACAAGAGCCTTTTCCAACAACTCAGTGCTTTATAAAGAAAAATTCAAATATTTTCGAAACAAACTTGTCGATTACACCACAACTAACAACTGTGTACATTTACAGGCTCAATTAATGTTAATATGATCAATAATGTACACAATTAGCATCTGTCGAATTATTGAATTATTATGAAACTATAAGGATTTTCTGCCAAATGACAGATCATAATGTTTTCTTTGAATATCATCAATTTTTAAACGAACTAGCCGTAATTCTTAACGAATTAAAGCTACATATGTACAATATACAAGTGTAAAAATCATACTTCCCTAGTGAGCACAGTTAATAAAATCACAATTAATAGGAACTTTTATATAATACTACTTTAACTAATAAAAATTAGATCTAACTAATGTATGGCTTTAGTGGAAAAAGATACGATAGAGGAAAATTTCTTATTTCTTAGCGTACGTGTCTCTTTTGATTCTTAGATTTTACGAGTTAAAGTGGAATTGAGGCCACCATTGGGTCACGTCATTGTCAATTAAAATCCATTGGCGATCATCGGGATTTGAACTTACACCTCGGAACGTAGTTAATGTTCTAACTAGCTTTAATTCATAATTAGTGGTTTACTAAATAGATTTGAAGTCGCCAAGAATAATTTTGTATCAAAAATTTAATGTTTTGTTCTACTAGGTATTTCGTAATTTACGTACCTTAGCCCATTGTAAACCTACTCAATACTTGATACTCATTTTAATTCGTAAAACCTTTCTACACATTCAAAATTTTGGTTTGATTAAATAAATATAGCATAGTTACTTTTATCTTAAACATACAACGTAAATCAGAAAGTCCAAAAAAAAAAAAGTTTAATATTTGTAAATATAAGAAATCAAAATAGACAAATAAAATATATAGGTAGTAAAATTAAACAACCCCAAACAGAAAAAAGTTTGAAGTATTGAATTAAACTATTTGATTAGGTATGTATGTATCGTATGATTAAAGTTGGCTGTAGTTATAAATAAAAACGGGTTATCATAGTTTAGATTACAGGTTAACATACTTTTAACGTATTTTGATTTTTTAAACGTTTTTGCAACTAAAAAACTTAATGATCACGTTTATCTATTTTGTGTTATTGGTTGTTATCGCTACATTTGCAAATAGCCAATATCCATTGACATTGTTCATGAAAAATAAACTACAATCAGTACTAGGAAAAACACATGAACTAAATATTTAAAAAGTTCAGTGAATTTTTAAAATGTTTTATAAAAAATATTAAGTTGGAGATTAACCAAATGATTTATTGTATGCATGTGTAAGTGGTATGAGTAAAGAATTATCGCTTAGTTCTGGGAAGAAAATATGAAAAAATTAGTGTTTATCAACTTACAGCACTTAGTACCGTGTACTTCAGTCTTTCGCAGCGTTGAAGTCTCCAGAGCACTTAGTCCCGCTGAAGAAGTTCATGCAGCGCTGATATGTACGTCTGCGCCATCTGCAATGTCTCGAACTTGCTGAGCTTTCGGTCGTTCCCAAGGGAAGGTACGACGTCTCGGAGGCGGTCGAAGGCGTCGTTCAAGTTGTTCATTCGACGTCTCTCCCTGGCGTTCGCTGCAAGTCGACGTCGTTTCACTACATCCACTCCTGAAGATCTTCTTCGGGGCTCATCGTTGTCTTGACTCCACTGCTGCTTCCACCTCGGTTCTTCGTAGAACCTCCCGTAGCTGTTTTCCACGTAGTCCTTCTGCCAGGTGTCGGAGGGTCCAGGGTCTTGGTACTTGGGAGGGGTAGGTGTAGGGGTGTACGCTGGGTAGTAACCCCCCGGGCTGGACACTGGACTGTGGTATCCGTCGGAACACGCGTCGTGGGGAACTTCCTTGGGGTAGTAGTTGGGGATAACCATACCTTGAAACATCGCTGCACTCATGTTCACTTCAAAACTTTGCTTTGAATCTACAATGTTCACTAATTTTTTCCTCTCAGAGTTCGAAATAGTAAAACGAATGAACTGCGTTCAAAAACATGCTAGACTACAAGTCAAAAAAATGAAAAAAACATCACGAAAAGCAAAATTCCTTTGATAAAATCTTCAAAATCAAATTTTCACAGAATAAAACAGAAACTAAAAATGTAGAGGTGTTAGAAAACAAAAATCGATTTCCAAAATACTCTCGACACGATCCAAAGAAGCAAGCAGTGTGGTTCTCTGAGGTGTTGATCAACCGAGACTCAGCCGGTTACTGATAGTGATGCTGGAAGATCTCATCTACCTGCGATCTCTTCTCTCTCTCTCTCCCTCCTTAGTCACGTGACGTCCGATCAAAGGAGCCGACCAATCTCAAGATTGTCCCAGCCAATCGTTTAGTCGACTTTTTGTTCAAATAAAATGTGTTTGAACCAAGTGTATGACAGTTTGTTGTCTACATATTCACTTTGTTCTGTTGAATGTCTGCAAAAAGGTTTACAGTTGACAGTTTCTCAGGGAAAAATTTGGATATTTTCGATTATAGTGTTTTAAGAAAGTTTTCGTAAAATTGGGGTGTTTCCCTTCATCTTTACCGTAAACAGTTTTGCCTTTAATGTATAATAAATCGTAGAAAACCCATATGTACGTTTAATTTTATAAAATAAATAGATTTAATTTATTCGAAAACTCGATGATTTTTCCGATGAACCATATCATATATTTAAAGACTAAACATAAACTAAACCACTAAATAATTTATTTTACTTTTGAAAAAGTCGAACAAAAATCCAAATTTACGAAATGTTTTACGTCAAAGTCTTTGCTTTACATTTCTTATAAACTGTTATGATGACTGTACAATTATCCACCAATTGATTACAATGTAATATGTTTAAAAAATTGAATCTCTTTAACAATGCTATAACCAAAAATGATGTTGATGAATAGAGTTTATCGTAAAGCTGTATTAACAATCCAAACAGATTGACATTACATAAAGTGCACATTCTGTAGGGTCTTAACATTATTGCTATACAGCTATACAATTATTGATATCACTGGAATGTGCCTTTTGAAGTTTTTAATCAGACAGCTGATCACAGAAAATATTTTTTCGCTAATTATCATAGTTGACAGATAATAACTGAAACAGTTCATCAGGAGTGATCACGCTCGTTTTCGAGGAATGTAATGTACTAATTTAGTTATTATTTGAAAACCGTTACTTACAGGGTTGGTTTAACTGAAAAGTAGTATGCGTGTTCTTGATTGAGGCAGTTCTTCATATGGAAAAAGTTCTACTTGTCTACGACATATAGGGCTACATGGTTGATTTCCTAGGTATGGACTAACAGTTTATGTTGGGTTCCGAATCACTTCGCTACGGCTTTAATATATACTTAAAAGCGATTGGTAATTTTTTGTGCTTTTCTAATTTCAAGGACTTGAATCAGAACTTTAAATCATTAATTTCAATACCTTCACACCTTCAACACTAAAACTCAATAGTGTTAGTGTTAGTGAAATACTATAGAAGAAGATTCCCTGAAGATACCACACAAAGCTGGCGAAATGCATAGGGTAAATAAAAACTACTAGCATAAGAACGCAGGCAACTAAAAGAGATAAATATAGTCTGTATGATGTCACCTGTCTCCTGACCCTATATATTCCTGGAAACTGGCCAATGGTTTAAGCCCCTGACCAGTCACAGGTCGACAGGAGGGCCTGGAGTCAGGTTCTATCATACCTACTGTAGAATAATTAATTGGTAGGATTTTACCGCACCATCGTGGAGCTTTAGAACGTGAGTGGCGCTCTTAAATTTCTTGATACTTCGCGCTACACTTTGATTCCATAACATTACTACATATACCAACGATTCAGAAAAGTCGCATCCTTAATTCCATCAAGGTAAATTTCCAAGACTTGACAAATTATCGACGCAAGTCAAAACTTCTCCATCGACGATAAACAAGGCGTCTACAAAACAGTAGAGAACCATCGCCCCATCGCACTGTTCACTTCCATGGCGATCCGATGATCGATTGTATCGAAGGTGTGGGTATCAGAGAAACTGACGAAGCGCTCTATCATTTCAGCCTATCAGCAATCCGATCAGCAGCTTTCCCCTGACGTGGCGAAAGTACCTCAGCACCGATAAGCTGATGCGATGTAGTCAGTGCCGATAGTTCAGGCAGCGGATCGCGGTGAAGTTGGTGCCGGGTTGGACTTATTGGAACGGAACCGAGCTATCTATACGATAGGGAATTTACAAGACTCTTGTATGTAGTGGTATGAAATTATAAAAATAGCACTGTCCTTCCTCCTAGTACAGTACTTTAAAAGAGTAGACTTTAAGCCTCACCGATATTGCCTATGTAATACCATAGAGACAAATAGAATAAAATATAGACAGTGCTGTGGTTAGCATATATTCTGGCGTCCACCGCTAGGAGTGCCGTGTAGTTCCGGCTCACACCACTGCAACGCCAAGCGCTGGTGACCGTTGTCATGACAACTTGGTAGTTGGGCAGTGTTGCCAACTTCGGAGGAATTCCCCGGAATCTGGGGAGTTGGAGTTTGTTCCGTTATTTTTCCGAGCTTTAAAAACTTTCGGGGATTAAAAAAAAATAAAACGGTATTTTCCGTTAAAACAACAGGATTTAAACATTTTGTTCTCTACCCATATTAAAAAGTAGGTCTGATACGTTGGTAGCATTTAATTTGTAAGGGTGGTAGTGCTGGTAGCAGACGGCGAGGAGCCGCCGACAGCAGCGAATCTAACACCGAGCACGCTCTAGCAGCACATCCAGGAACCTTCCTTTGAAAGTCTATGATAAAATGAAGTCTATAACCTATGGTCTATGGTCTTCCTTATTTATTATATTCGTCTATGGTACTACCCTCTGGTGCTTGAAGTGTAGTACCAAGCCTTTTATTTTGATGCTTTCACCTCATTCTTGTCCCGCCAAGTTGTCTTTTCCTTCTGGATTCCCCAGACAGACACCCCTGGTTACTGGTTAGTGAATGTTTATTACACATACGATTCGGTCCATCTCACTTCATAAATTTTAACCATTGCCATAACGTCTCTGTTGGATCAAATCTTATCAACTTTTGGCTCTTTGCAATACATCATCCATTCTAATATTGGATTTGCCCTATGGGTTTCTTCAATTTTATTTTTGTAAAGGCAATGGTCATTCTCTATAGGTTTCGGTTAGCTTGATCCTTTTGAGAAATTAAACATACAATTTTTATTTGCTACATCATTACTAAACTATGCTATGGTTTAATTACTAGCAGAGACCTTAAAATTGGACATAACGATTTTCTACTCGATTTTTGATATTTTGAAACTGGACCCAGCTGTCCTTGTTTATTGGGCTTGTATACAATAGCCCTGGCCAACGAAGCAGCTGGTATTAGTTAGTAACAAAATCAAATAAGCTGTCCCTTCATTCTAACCACTCTGCATTAATTCGAGTGGTTAACTTGGGATTAATCTAGAAATAATACTTTAGTAAATTCCAAATTCGAAATTTCGTGTATGGATGGAAATATGTATGGTACAAATTAGGAATCACAAAGTTTTAGTTTGTGTTGTCTTATTTAGTCCTTTGGGTTAAATATTTAATAAATATTTATTTGAATCAACCATTTTAAACAAGGAAGCAATTTTTACAGTCTTTCAACCTACCATATTATTTATACCCTCTTTTATTTTACAGTAGTGTATCCACTTTTCATTTATTATTTACTCAAAAGCTTCAGCCATGCTTTCCAGTGGAATATGACGAAAAAGGAATGTGATTTATATGAGGTTTTTTTATAGTTTGAAACTCAATCCAGCTGTCCTTGTTTATTGGGCTTGTAATTTTTTTTTTTAGTCATATAATCATCTGAAAGTGTAGAACATAGCTTTTTTGTATACTAAATGGTCACATCGAAGGGTGACTTCAGCTGTTTTACAAAGTATCTATTCAATTGTTTTGTATCAGCTCTTTGAAAATTTTATGTAAATGGTATACAACAAATTAAGGATAGAAAAATTGCCCATTTTAGACATTATTTTAGGACTCAACATTTATTCCCCAAAGTATTACCTTAGAGCTTTGAGGACCTGGGGCAAAGTTCTGAGTCAAACTCGTGGTGGGTGAAGCCTCTAGATTGGTCAGTGTTTAGTGATGTGATAAGATAGTCAGACACGTAATTTTAATTATGGTTAAGACTCATTAGAGAATAACATAGACAATTTATTACAAGGGTTCTCTTTGTACATTTTATCACTAATACATTTCAAAGGTATGCACTTCGAGGCTTTGAAAAAGACGATCAAAGTAAAGGGTTTTGGGAAAGGGTCAAACGCCGGCAGCTATCCGTGGAGCGTGCGAGTCCAAAAGTGCAGATTGCCACAAAAACAGGCACCAACGCTACCGATTGAAGATACCTAATTGAAATTAACTGCATAACATGCAGCGGCTCCTTTGAGAGGTGTCGGTTATTCAATATTAGTACACGCAACCCTCTCACGCGACAATTCACTAACAGTCTAGACGAGAGCCTGAGGGCCTGTGTGAAAATTACCAGGATTGCAGAGAGTTCCAGGTAATGTAGGTGGCAAATAACTGAGTACCAAACCATTTATTCGGAAAAGAGTTTAAATTTCTGAATTCGCAAAGAAACGTTTGAATGCCTTTGAGACCAGGTTGTGGTAATTTGGTAACAGTTTAGGAGCTTGCAGGATGATGTTCTAGGTATTTGGAACGAAAGAACTGAGTTATAAACGTATCCGGAAGAGTATTTTGGATATTTTTCAACTTAAGCAAGGCCGAAATATCAGAAGTTTGTCTTGGTTTAAAAAATCTACTTGAAATTTGGTTTGGAAGCCTTCAGATCCATGTGAAATTTACGAAAATTGAGTTTAACGTGTAGGTGTGAAATTACTGAACAATGAA